AGTCCCTTCCTGACTTCCTAAATGGGTTAGCATGATGTCCCCACAGCCCCTTGTACCCTCTCTGCCATAGTTGTTCTGTACTGTGGCAGTGTACTTTTCTGGATGATGTCATAGTAATTGGAAGTGCTATTGCCACTTAGTAGGTAGGGCTGAGGGATGTTAGATGTTCACCTTTAAGAACTGCCTTGAGCCCTGAATGACTTTTGAAAGTCCCACTAGATGGTCACATGGGTGAAAAAAACTATTTATAGCTGTAGTCAGAGCCTAGAGCCCTGTGCAATTTTACATATGCATGTGGAATTTTTTTTAGAATTTTAATTAAATATTGAGTTTTCCAGGAACAAAACTACTGTATTATTGAAGGAATATTGTACTTTGTTTTGTTTGGAATTTTACCAAGAGTCATTCACCATTTTGGGAAATCTCATCACTGAAGGCAACAGCAAATAGGTGGAAACATCTGACTACATAGTAAATATTTGTTTGAATTTAATTTAAATTAGGAAAAAGAAAAAAAAAATTAAACTGATGGGGGAAAACTACTTCTCTCTTTCCTGGCAGAATATATTTGCTTTCCTCTCTCTTCCTATTACACTTTATTCACATAACTTCATTCATAGATAGCACATCTGTCTCTCTCAATAAATGAGAACTTAGTGGGCGCAAGAACAGCATTTTACTCACCTTTGGATCTTCAGTGCTCACTGAGCATATAGTTGCTCAACTTGATATTTACTCAGTTGAATTAATGGCTTTAACAACTATTGATTCAGACTTTGCTAGACAAAGAGGGCAAAAAGACACTGTCTCTGCTCTCAAGGAACACACGATCTGTTGCTAAGACAGACCTGGGAATAATTATGATACAATATGATAGTTCCTAAAATAGAAATAGCTATAAACTATAGATATGTAGTGGAAAAAAAAAAAAAACCCCACACAAGTCTTGTGTGGAGGTCCTGGAATAATGTCACTGAAGAGAAATAGTATTCAGTATCAGTGCTGGAGGACTGATTAAGGAGGACTCTTAATATACTTGGAAATTGAACAGATGAGCATAACTCTAAAGAGTGAGAAGGAGTTTGCCAAATGGTCAGATTTAAAGAGGGCATTCCAGACAAAATCCCTATTCAAAGGCTCAGAGGTTTAAAAAGTGCAGTTGGTATTACTGATGGAGCATAAAGTTGGAGTTTTATTCGTAAGAGATAAAGCTGTCCCTGGAGGTGATGAAGAGCCTCTTCCATGAAAAGAAGTTAAGGTTTTCCGTTGGAAAACCTTTGATGTAACAATTTTAAAAAGTGTATTTAAAATCATACTGTATGCCAGGCAGGTACCTATAACTCTATTACAGAGCTGGTGTGTTTTCATTTTATAGTTGGGGACTGAGTTTAATTAACTTGTCCAGGTTTTCACAGCTATTATGTGGAAGAACTAGGATTTAAATTTGAGTTGGTTGAGTTCAGACCTCCTGTCCGCTTTTCAAACTATATTTTACAGTCCCTTCAGCAAGGAAGAAACTAGATATTTATATCATCCAGTCTGGCTTCATTACTTCGCATCATGCTCAACTCTAGCAAATTCACAATTTTTATGTAAATTTAAATTCTTAACAGTTTGGTACTCCTGATTAAGTTTTAGTCTTCTAAAGGTCCACAATGGTCTCTTACAGTAACTTACTTCTGTCTGCAGGATACTTTTTATTCTGATGCCATCTTCTGTCTTGGCTATTGAAATGTCTTTGGTAGGGGAGCAGGGGTTCACCATTGCATGTCATGGACCAATAGGCATGATTTATGTACTCTAAAAGAAAAATTTGAAGTACTACTTCCCTTTTTTGAAACATTTAGATCTGTCCTCAGCATGCAAAAAGAATAGTAATTATATTAAGAAAATCCAATATTAATCTTGATATTCTATTGATATAGATGTAGTTTACTATTGAAATAAATTATTTCTACCTCATTCTGGTCTGCTTGGTTATCTTGAAGTTCTTCAGTTATTATCTAAATAACCCTGTGATCTTTCTGGCTACCCTAAAATTCTTCCTAATTATAATGGCTATTAAAATGTAAGTTCTGAAGAGATGATGTGATGATTGCATAACAATAAGAATGTACTTGATGCCACTGAACTGTACAATTAAAATGATTAAAATGCTGTATTTTATATTATGTATATTTTACCTCATTAAAAACATAGTACAAAAGTTCAGAGTGGCATAAGATCTCTTACCAAGCAGTTGCCAATCAAATATTTTTGAGAGCCTTCCAGATAACTTGAGTAAGGTGTGAGGGAAAGGTTTGGTTTATCTCAGTTCTTCCTATCCCATCATCATAAGCTGATCAGATTAAATACTCTTAATACTAAGCTGTTTGAAAAGAAAAAGAATTATATTTATTTGAGTGTAGGGATAAAGAAGGAAATGTGGTAAGAATGTTATGGGCTAGTCATCTTCAGGATGGATATGATGAAGATGCCTTTTAGACTTGGCTGCTATTGGCCCCTGACCCCTTTTTTGTTCAGAAGGGCAACTAAGGAGTTAAGTCAGCTATCCAAATGTCACCTCAATAGATGTGATGTGCATGTCGTAACTCCAATTCATAACTAAGGCTCAGACTTTTGCCCCCCCCCCTTTCACTCACTCTACACCCCAATTTCAGGAGAAATTTAATTTTCACCCATTAGATTCACAAAATTTTTAAAAGAATGTGCTGGCGAAGATATGGGAAACTCACAGACATATTGTGGGTGAGTGTGAATTGCATAATTTTTTGGAAAGTAGTCTGGTATTCACTTTGAAATTTTTTAATACACATTCTTTTGGCTTAATCTCATTGGGTTAAAACCAGCCGTTTTTGCTTTGTTGTTCATAATGACAAAACAGTAGAAGTAATCTGAAAGCCAGTCAGGAAATAGTTGAACAAATTATGTTCTATCAATTCTAAAGAACAATGTGATCTATTAAAATGTGAATTAAATCTACATTCATTGGTATGGAATGTATAGTATGTTAAAAATTTGTAGAGTTAATTGTGTAGTAGTATGATCTTTAAAAAACAACTATGTTTATGTTTGAGAATAGAGAAAGGTATGGAGGGATTTACATCAAACTTAATACTGATTCATTTAGGGAGGCAAGCTTGGAGGTAGGCTTGAATTAACTTTCCTCATACAGCCATGTTTGTTACACTTTTTGCAACTTTAAAAGTTTCTTAAGTAAAAAGAGGGAAAGGGAGAGCTCTATAATGATAGCAATTATAATAGAGATTACTTTGGGGTGGGTTGATGACATAATGGGTACAAGAGAAACCATTCTATGGGTTATGATCTATATTATATCTTGATGTCATTGGTTACACAGATGTGTTCACTTTGTAAAAATCCATCCAGTTTATGGTTATAGTTTGTACAGGTTTGTGTATATATTATACCAATTAAAATATTAAAATTATGGCACAGCAATATAATAGAATGCTATTATGTTTTTAAAAATACTTTTAATAAATATTTAATAAAGTTGGGCAACAAACAGGACAGTCCCATTATCATAAAATATACATGTAAACACAGAATGAAGACTGGAATAAAAACATTACAGTATTATTAATAGTTAATGTCCAGATGATTGTTGTTTTGGTGTTTAAGTAAGAACAGTTTTTTGGGTTGGGTTGTTTAGAAAGTTTGTAGAAGCCTTGATGAGCAAAGCTGGATTACTGGATATAAAGCAGAAAATAAGAGTGAAGAAGGATAGAGGAAAGGGGAGAGAAAAAGATAAACAATGCTAAGGAGAGACATCAATGACGTCAGGTAATTTTTTTTAACCCCTACTAGGAAGGGACTCCTGCTAGGAAGGGACTAATTTCCGCGGCCAAAATCCTCATGTACTAGTTGGATCATATTAAAAGTACTCTCTTTCAACAAACTCAGTTTGGTTTTTATAAATAATTTATGCTTGGTACTTTCTTTGTTTTTAAGCATTTAATGAAAATATCATCGGTATAATAGTTTCAATTGATTGTAGCAGATGCAACTCGTCATAGCTTAAGAAGCTTATATTCTCCTACTCATCACTAATTAATTGTAAAATGCTCAGATTGTTTTGTCTCATAGTTGACACATGGGGCAAATAATAAATACCTCCCCACGTTGGAGTGAGAATCAAAATGTATGTGGAAACACTTTAATAGAATTTAACACTATCCAATTGTAAATTATTTTTGATTTTCCTTCAGCCCAAAAGCCCTTAGTCGTGAAATGTGGTCATTTCAGATGTAACTCTGAGTTCAAAAGTCGAAATTTATGAAATAATGCATTTTTTTAAATCAAGTTCTGCAAATGTAAATGCAACATTTAGTGTTTATCGAGGTTTATCGAGGTTTGTGATTGCAATGGATCTTTAGTATTTTAGACTTAGTATGTAGTGCTCTATATATAAAATTGAAATGTAAACATTTTTATTTCCTCCAAGTATTGTTGAGCTGTCGGGAATTATCAGGCTTTTTTCTGCATTTCAATCATTCTTCATTATTCACCATGTTAACTTAAAATGACTAATAACCAAAATCAAATCTTTTCAGGTGTTTCGCAGGGGTTTCAAAGGATTTGACTTTTGCTAAACCCTCAAAATCAGTAATAATCTGGACGGAACGCGAGTTGGGTTGGGTTGTAGAAAACTGCGTGGCATTAGGACCCAGGGGGCTCCCGTGAGCGGATCTAGGGGCCAGATTGCAAATTCGCGGTGACTCAGTCTGGTCGGCTCCTTGCGCTCGGCGGCCGCGGCGGCACCAGCAGACATTGGCGGCCCAGCTGCCAGGATCAGTTCCCCCGGGTTTCAAGGTCCGAGACTTCTTCAGGGAGCCCCAGACAGGTCCGAGGCGTCTGGGGAGCGCAGGGGTCGTTCGGACGGGGAGATGGGGGTTGCTTGGCGCGGGAAGCCCTCGGGCCTCTGCACGGGGAGTAACATTTGCTCCGTCTCTTCCTGTGTCTGGCTTTATTTGCAGCAAACCAAGATGGAGTATGAGTGGAAACCTGACGAGCAAGGGCTTCAGCAAATCCTGCAGCTGCTGAAGGAGTCCCAGTCCCCAGACACCACCATCCAGAGAACCGTGCAACAAGTATCCTTTCCGAGGCCTCGCCGCCGCCCGCACAGCTTGTCCCGCGCGGGGCTGGCTCCCGGCGGCCGGGGGGCT